CTGTATGAGGCCAGGAGTGGGTGGTAGACACCTGTATGAGGCCAGGAGTGGGTGGAGGACACCTGTATGAGGCCAGGAGTGGGTGGTAGACACCTGTATGAGGCCAGGAGTGGGTGGTAGACCACCTGTATGAGGCCAGGAGTGGGTTGGTAGACACCTGTATGAGGCCAGGAGTGTGTGGTAGACCCTGTATGAGGCCAAGAGTGGGTGGTAGACACCTGTATGAGGCCAAGAGTGGGTGGTAGACACAGGTGTGTGCAGGAGCAACTGGTATGAGGCATGCCTCAGGTGTGTGTAGGACCAACTGGTATGAGGCATGCCTCAGGTGTGTGTAGAACCGACTGGTATGAGGCATGCCTCAGGTGTGTGTAGAACCAACTGGTATGAGGCATACCTCAGGTGTGTACAACCAACTGGTATGAGGCATGCCTCAGGTGTGTGTAGAATCAACTGGTATGAGGCATGCCTCAGGTGTGTAGAACCAACTGGTATGAGGCATGCCTCAGGTGTGTAGGACCAACTGGTATGAGGCATGCCTCAGGTGTGTAGGACCAACTGGTATGAGCCATGCCTCAGGTGTGTGCAGGACCAACTGGTATGAGGCATGCCTCAGGTGTGTGTAGGACCAACTGGTATGAGGCATGCCTCAGGTGTGTGTAGAACCGACTGGTATGAGGCATGCCTCAGGTGTGTGTAGAACCAACTGGTATGAGGCATACCTCAGGTGTGTACAACCAACTGGTATGAGGCATGCCTCAGGTGTGTGTAGAATCAACTGGTATGAGGCATGCCTCAGGTGTGTAGAACCAACTGGTATGAGGCATGCCTCAGGTGTGTAGAACCAACTGGTATGAGGCATGCCTCAGGTGTGTAGGACCAACTGGTATGAGGCATGCCTCAGGTGTGTAGGACCAACTGGTATGAGGCATGCCTCAGGTGTGTGTAGAACCAACTGGTATGAGGCATGCCTCAGGTGTGTAGGACCAACTGGTATGAGGCATGCCTCAGGTGTGTGTAGGACCAACTGGTATGAGGCATGCCTCAGGTGTGTGTAGGACCAACTGGTATGAGGCATGCCTCAGGTGTGTGTAGAACCAACTGGTATGAGGCATGCCTCAGGTGTGTGTAGAACCAACTGGTATGAGGCATGCCTCAGGTGTGTGCAGGACCAACTGGTATGAGGCATGCCTCAGGTGTGTGTAGAACCAACTGGTACGAGGCATGCCTCAGGTGTGTAGAACCAACTGGTATGAGGCATGCCTCAGGTGTGTGTAGAACCAACTGGTATGAGGCATGCCTCAGGTGTGTGTAGAACCAACTGGTATGAGGCATGCCTCAGGTGTGTGTAGAACCAACTGGTATGAGGCATGCCTCAGGTGTGTAGAACCAACTGGTATGAGGCATGCCTCAGGTGTGTGTAGAACCAACTGGTATGAGGCATGCCTCAGGTGTGTGTAGAACCAACTGGTATGAGGCATGCCTCAGGTGTGTGTAGAACCAACTGGCATGAGGCATGCCTCAGGTGTGCAGGACCAACTGGTATGAGGCATGCCTCAGGTGTGTGTAGAACCAACTGGTATGAGGCATGCCTCAGGTGTGTAGGACCAACTGGTATGAGGCATGCCTCAGGTGTGTGTAGAACCAACTGGTATGAGGCATGCCTCAGGTGTGTGTAGAACCAACTGGCATGAGGCATGCCTCACGTCCATTCCTCATTCCTTGGCAAGGTACAGACAACTCCAAAACACCTACAGGATAGGAAGGGAGAACAAAGAAACGCCCAGTAAAGTTGATATTTCGAAGACATCATGACTAAACACAGAGAAAAGGCAGCTGAAGGGTGGAGAAAGCAAAGGGGGAAAAATAGGACAAGAGGAAGAAAAAAAGAGAGAGAATTTTAAGAGAAACAGAAGGGGGGATAAAAGATGGAATAAGATGTAAAGGCCGAGCAGGAGGAGGAAATTCTTGTTTACCAAGATAGTAGCAGCATTCACACTGGTGAGACACCACACACTTAGGGGAATGCGTGTGACTGGACACACACACACACACACACACACACACACACACACACACACACAGTAAATAGAATGCACTAGGAAGTGATGTGGTGGAGACTGACTCCATACACAGTTTCAAATGTAGATATGACAGAGCCCAGTAGGCTCAGGAACCTGTACACCAGTTGATTGACGGTTGAGAGGCGGGACCAAAGACCCAAAGTTCAACCCCCGCAAGCACAATTAGGTGAGTACACACACACACACACACACACACACACACACACACACACACACACACACACACACACAATATTACTCTCAACACCTATCGCCACAATAAATCTCCCCGACTCACATGTGGAAACAAAATTCCAACACAAAAAACTATCAAATATGCTACTGTACCAGTTTACAACAAGACCAAAACCTGTGCTATATCTACCCCTAACCAGCTTTAACACAGTCTCTAAATTCAACATCAATTCCTGTTACCTACTCCGGTTTGAGACGTGTTCCGCCCCCCCACACACCACCCATTAAAGTCTGATTAGAGTGAACAACCTCCTGATTGTAATTAGTTAATGGTGACCCAATCAGGGATTATACAGCCATTCAAATTCCCAGTACCGAGAACCAATACACTGGTTCGTGCATCCTGATTGGCTGTAATCAGAAATAGTGTCTCTCGGGGATACTTAAATGGGCGACTGTAAATTATTCTTAACTAGCCGACCAAACGAACAAGCAGAGGCAGTTCAATTACTGACACGTCTTGCGTGCCGTGATTCGC